AGCGGCGCGCCGCGTAGAGAGAAAGGTGGGCAGACTCCTCCTCCTTTTCATTGTCGCGGGATCTGCAGCCCCTGCTTGCAGCTCCGCAGGTTCGAAAGGAAGGGTGCGTGTTGTAGCCTGCAGCCGGCCTCCCTGCAGGCCTGCGGGGCTGGGGAGCGCGGCCGCGGGCCCGGACGAGGTGGCCTGGCCGCCTGGCCTCGGCACCGTGTCATCCGTTGGTAACGTCTGCTCGCGTCTCTCTCCGCCCCCGCCCCACCCGAGAAGTAGCTTTTGTTATTTCTTCTTTGTATGTTTATCGATTGTGGCGGTTCTGAGCTTTGTCTTAGAACCGAGTGCCGGGCTGAGGTCGTCTCCTCCGCCTTAAATTACACACGAGCTGTCCGTTCCCCTCCCGCGGGGAAAATGTTCTCTTTTGAAATAACACGCATCTTACTTCTGAAGGAGAGCGGTTTTGTTTGGGTTTGGTATGTCAGATAGATGCAAGTATTTGAAAAATTAGTGGATGGCGGTAATAGGTACGTGTGTACGCGTGTAAAAATTGATCGAGCTGTACATACAGGATGAGTGCATTTAATTGAATGTTACCTTGGATTCTTTTAGAAGTGATCATTAGCGACTGGAAGCGTTTTTCTAGCAGTTGAAAAAATACAACTGGAATGCCGGTTTTCACCCGGGGGTGGGATAATTTCCATGCAATACGTAAGGATTCTTAGTATACAGAACTCACTGTCCTGGTGTTAACAGTGATATTAAATGGCGTTCTCTGTTTTTATATACATGTAAGGCATGAATAATAAACTTGAGCTTATTTTCAGTAGCGGGATGAAGAAGCATAAAAGCTTTTTTAGGTCGCTTCTCTTACCAGTCGTTGTAGATCGTAAGAATGGAATCAAGTGCAGTATCTTGAATGAGAATTTCAAAATTCTTGTTCATGAAACAGTTAAGTCCCTATTTACAATTTCTCTTTTCTCTACAGTGCTGCAGTTGATTTATATGTGCTAGTTGGATCTTTAAAAAAGAACTAGTGTAACCTTTATATACCTGAGTTTTTAGCCCTTCACTCGGCAGTCCCAGTCTACTTCTATATACTGAAAATAATGTTGCTTGAATAGGAGTTCTTAACAGGAACTCCATACAAAGCCTTGATTTTAACCTGTCATTTCCAATCTCAATATAGTCTAGCTTTTAACACCCATCACCAACCTGGCATTACCATAGTTATCTCATTTTTTATCTTGGCAGCTGTAACTTGAACCCAACTTTACAGCAGTGCCCAGAATTCATTGTCACTTTTACACTTTCTTCTCTGTTGGACACTTGGCTCTGTTCTTACTTCCCTTTTCTAGTTCCTCAGCAGTATATAACCAGAATTAAGAATAGCTTACTAAATAGGCCAGATAAAAGGCCAGAAAAATAAGCTGAAAACCCAGACTAAGCATTCCTCTTTGCTTGACTTCAGGATCTTTGAGTTAAATGCAGTATTGTAGATTGTTCCTGGACTGGTGGGAATTCATTGCCCATGAACCAATAGGTTTTATATGTATTTAAAAAAATTTACATAGCTCAGTAATCTAATATTTTGGAAAGGCATTATGTAAAAGATAACATGCTTAGATGTACTAGTTTTTTCTTGAAAGTTATTTTTAATTTTTAAAAAGTACAGGCTAGTATATCTTTGATTTTAATATTTGACATTGTTTTCAGTTCTAGGTATGAACATCTATTTTAAAATTCTCTTTGGATAGTGAATATGAGATCTTTTATTGTGGACCTTGAGCTTTCTTGAGCAGGGGCCCTCTTTTGTTTATCCTTATGTGTACTTAAGTATCTTTTGGGGACTACCTCATTCAGTTATTCATTAAATAAGTATTAGTGCCTACAACAAGAGACAATGCCCTAGGTGTTAAAGGGAATGCAAAAATGTATTTTCATTGTGTTGCTAAATCTCCCTAGAGGAGAATTAAGCTAAGTGATACACTTTAGTGTTTCTGCTTATTTCCTTCCATCTAGCAGTTTGATTAACGCTATTTACTTAGGGGGCGCCTGGGTGGCTCAGTCCTTAAGCGTCTGCCTTCGGCTCAGGTCATGATCCCAGTGTCCTGGGATCGAGCCCCACATCAGGCTCTCTGCTCCATGGGAAGCCTGCATCTCTCTCTCCCACTCCCCCTGCTTGTGTTCCTGCTCTCGGTCTCTCTCTCTCTGTCAAATAAATACAATCTTTAAATAAAAAAAAGACTATTTACTTAGGTCATAATCCTCCAAGTAGTTATTTGGAGGACAGATTTTTTAAATTGCTCAATTTTCGTACTGGTTACTATTTATATTTCTCAATTCTACCTCATTGTGTTTGATGTCTGCAGCTTAAGAAAAACTTATACCTTCCCAGGGAACTGTATCATGCTGCCCCCACCAGGCCATTTTTCATATTTTTTTATTGGAGGAATATCATGAAATATGCTATTGCTTTTAGCTTCTTCGAGAGTATAGGGTTAAAATACTTAAAAGTCATAACTTGCAAGCTATAATTTTGGATTTAGACACTGCTTTATGAGAGTTCTACAGTGGTAGAAGACTGTTCTGGCATTTGAAATAATATCCCAAAACCAAGTGTGTTCATTTTGATTTTTAAAAATAAAGGAAATTATTCCAGAAAGTCTCTATCCATAGTGAAGTTTATTACTTGGAAACTATCTAGCATATAGGCTTTTTTGAAGGGGTGGCATTGAAAAAGTTACCAGCCCATTCATTAAGAATTAATTTGCTACTGACATTTGCCATGTCACCTAACAGTTTTTATTAAATAGGTAACTATTATTTGTATAAGTATTATAAGAGATAAAAAGCAGAGTAAACCATGGTCCTCAGCCACCAGGAATTTGCAGTCTAGTCTGGAAAATAGTACATGCACTCCTCAGATTAAGTATCAAAGTTAAAAAATGCCATAGCTGATGAAGTGGTAAATGCTGAATTAGGTAGCATTCTGTAATTTCTTCTGTCAACCCACAGGCAGGTTGTTATGATGCCTAGAGGTACTTTGAGGGTATTGTTCGGGTCTGTTGTACCCTAGAAGCTACTGTTAGGGTGTTTTGTAATGTATTTTGGCAAACGTTCTTAGGTTTCCAAGAGGTACAGCAGTAGGGAGATTGCTAGGCGATTATGTTTGTCTTAACTGGACAATGTCTGGAGTGACAATTGCAGTGAGAGCACGAGCCGGAGGGAGGGTCAGAGGTCATGAGGGTCAGAGGTCATCTCGGTGGAGGGATGGACCCCATACCCATCCAAGCTCAGTGGGGAGTCTGCTTTGAGATTCTCTCCCTCTCCCTCTGCGCCCCCCCCATCCTTCTCTCTAAAATAAATAAATTTTAAAAAGTCCTATGGCCTAGCCTTTTCTCCAAAGGAAGCTTTAGTCTGGGCAATGGCATCAAGATTTGGATGGTGGCTTGGTGGTGGCATTTAAAAAATAAAACTTCGAGGGGCGCCTGGGTGGCTCAGGCAGGTCATGGCCCCAGGGTCCTGGGATCGAGCCCCGCATTGGGCTCCCCGCTCTGCGGGAAGCCTGCTTCTCCCTCTCCCACTCCCCCTGCTTGTGTTCCCTCTCTTCGCTGTGTCTCTCTCTGTCAAGTAAATAAAATCTTTAAAAAATAAAAAACAAAACAAAAAACAAAACTTTGGTTTCATTTTGGGGAGAAATTTCTTGGGAGAGGTTTGCCTTTTTTTCTACTTTCTGATACAGCGTAACACTTTTCACAATCATAATCTCTTAGAGATGGGTTGGTGAGGAGGGATTTCACTGTGAGAATTGTATTTAATTCTGGAAATACCAATAGTGTTCCTATCACTGAGGGGAGGGATAAAAGGCCAGAAAAATAAGCTGAAAACCCAGACCATACATACCAAACAACCATTTATGTTTAGTATTTGGCAGTAACTAATTAATTAGGGCTTGTGTTCTAGCATTTTTGTTGATTCTGAAGTATCAGGTGATTTTGTGTCTGCTTGAATTCCTTCAGTGTTGCTAGTTCTGGACCTCAGGAACATATGTCATTGCTGGGTAATTCTTCGCGACTTCATGTTGAACCAGATAGATACATGATGTATCTTTCTGCATATGAAACGGTTCTTTGTATTTTGGCTATATTACTACGGTTACCTAAAATCTTGTGGCATGACATACAGGTGTCTTGCCTTAATCGTTTGCCTTACTCTTACTTATTTTTATTTTTATTTTTTTTTTAAAGGTTTTATTTGACAGACCCAGCGAGAGAGGGAACACAAGCAGGTGGAGTGGGAGAGGGAGAAGCAGTCTTCCCGCCGAGCAGGGAGCCCAATGCGGGACTCGATCCCAGGACCCTGGGATCATGACCTGAGCCGAAGGCAGACGCTTAACGACTGCGTCACCCAGGCACCCCCTGCCTTACTCTTAACTTGATTTGTTCTGTGTACCTCCTCTGCCAGGCTGGTCATAAACCAATATAGTGAACAAATGTAGTCTGGCAGGGCAGAGTAAAGATGTGGAAGGACAGATCTGAATGAACATGCATAGCACAGACAATGCAGATACTGACTTAAATTCTTATATCTAAAAGATTGCTGAAACCTGCTTAAAGTCACATAGCTTCTCATTGACAAAGCTGGAATTTAAAAGTCTCCCCAGTTTTTTGTTGAAGATTTTGTCAGAATGCACAAGCAGGGGGAGCAGGAGAAGGAGGCTCCCCACTGAGCAGGGAGCCCTGTGTGGGACTGAATCCCAGGACGCCGGGATCATGACCTGAGCCACCAAGGCGCCCCTCCGTATCTGTATCTGACTTAAAATGATCCCAAAGAAACACTGAAGGTATAGACACCTTCTTGTGTTTAAACAGGAACAGTTCTCACTGGGCATGAGACAGTAAACTACTGTATTTGAGCACTGCTACTGTTTCAAAAGGATAACCTATTACCAACTGGATACTTTTTTTTTTCTTTAAAGATTATCCTTATTTACTTGAGTGCGAGAAAGCACAGGGTGAGGGGCAGAGGGAGAAGCAGACTCCCCATTGTGCAGGGAGCTGGAAAGGGGGCTCAATCCTGGGTCTCAGGGATCATGACCTGAGCCAAAGGCAGACACCTTAACCGAGTCACCCAGGTACCCCTGGATACTTTTCTATGTACTTTGAAGCAATATTTTACTGCTGTGGTGATTACAATGTAATTTTTTTAAAGATTTTATTTGACGGGAGAGACAGCGAGAGAGGGAACCACAAGCACGGGGAGTGAGAGAGGGAGAAGGAGCCTTCCCGCCGAGCAGGGAGCCTGATGCGGGGCTCGATCCCAGGACCCTGGGATCGTGACCTGAGCCGAAAGCAGATACTTAACGATTGAGCCACCCAGGCGCCCCTACAATGTAATTCTCATTGGCTTGTATAGTTAGGGGGTGTCTGTTGATGTTTTCAATTATGCAGTCAAATGAGGTTTTGTTTTTTTTTAAGACATAGAAAGAGCACAAGCAGGGGGAGGAGCAGAGGGAGAGGGACAAGTAAACTCCCCATTGAGTGGGAAGCCCATTGCAGGGCTTGATCCCAGGATCAGACCTGAGCCGAAGTGAGACGCTTAAGCGACGAGCCACCCAGGCTCCCCCAAAATTACCTATTGAAAAACAAGTGGTTTAACTCAAAGTTGCCTGAGTTACATTATGGTAAACTTAAAATAACTGTTGAAATTAGGTCAACTATAGTTAAATTATCACTTCCTAGTATATTCTTAGATTTTGTTAACGGACTACAACTCCAGGGCACTTTAGGATATTGGTCATTTTAATTATTTCCACCAACATGTTAGTCTTTTAAAGTGATGTACTGTCATGCAGAAGTTTTCCCTTACAGGTACTCTTTGAATAGAACCTTTCACATTTCAGTTTTGGGCAGCGGCCTTCCAGTTTCCTTAGGTAAATATGGATATTTTGTACATACTCAGAGATAAGTGGGCAAGTGGAGTATACACTCATTCTAGATAACTGTGACACTCTTGGATATAGTGATGTTGTCAGCCACACTAAGGAAATACGTACTTTTTCCTTCTGTGCCTGTTTGGGGAGTTGTGGCCTGCCAAAAATAAACCTTCATTGCTCTCTCTGCTCAAGAGACCGATACCAATAAAGGAGCAAAGAAATTAAAAAAAAAAAAACAACTTGGGGTGCCCTGCCTGGCTGGCTCAGTCACTACTAGAGCATGTGGTTCTTGATCTCTGGTTGTGGGTTCAAGCTCCACGTTGGACGTAGAGTTTACTTTAAAAAAAAAAAATGGGGCAGGGGGTAGAAAAGAACCCTGACAGAAGTCAGTGATGGGAAGATGGAGGATGGTGGTGGTGGTTCTGCTCTACGTGATCAAAAAATGACTATCACTTCTAACCTAGAGAACTGTAGATGCTGCTTGCTCTACTCATCCCCCTCCATCCCCACTTTCTGATTTTAGTAGGTATGAGATATTTATTTCTAGCAAATTCCCAAATGATGCTGATGGTGCTATACCAGGTCCTACTAAGGCGTACTCTGATACTTGGTGTTAAGGAAACTGCGGAAACTGCTAGTTAGGTAATACTTTCAGGCTGAGGAGCAATAATCTGCTAACCAAAGAACATAAGGTGATTTCTCTTGGCCTCTGTGTGTGCAGCAAATTTGGTTATATTTTCACATGTGGATTTTACATGAAGTTACAAGCAGATTCCATGCCCAGTTTGGAGTCCAGCGTGGGGCTTGAACTCAGAGCCCTGAGATGGAGACCTAAGCTGAGATCGAGTTGCTTAAGCAGCTGAGCCACTCAGGTACCCTTCATGTGGCTTTTCAAGCATTAAAATGGTTTCTTTTTTAAGATTTTATTTAGGGGTACCTGAGTGGCTCATACAGTTAAGCGTCTGCCTTTGGTTCAGATCAGGGAGGCTGCTTCTCCCTCTCCTACTCCCCCCACTTGTTCCCTCTGTGTCTCTGTCAAATAATCTTTAAAAAAATTTTTTATTGGGGCTCCTGGGTGGCTCAGTTGTTAAGCATCCCCCTTCGGCTCAGGTCATGATCCCAGGGTCCTGGGATCGAACCCCGCATCGGGCTCCCTGCTCCGTCGGGAAGCCTGCTTCTCGACCATCTCCCACTCCCCCTGCTTGTGTTCCCCCTCTCTCTGTGTCTCTGTCAGATGAATAAATAAAATCTTTTTAAAACCTTTTGAGGGAGCACTATATAGAGAGCACAAGAGAGCGCAAGCAAGAATCGGGGGCAGAGGGAGAAGCAGGCTCCCTGCAAAACAGGGAGCCCAACGCGGGGTCCAGTCCCAGGACCCTGAGATCATGACATGAGCCGATAAGGCAGACCCTTAACTGACTGAGCCACCCAGGCACCCCTAAAATGGTTTCGTGAAGTAGTGAAACATACAGTAGTCTGACCCATTCTGGTCTACATTGTTTCTTGCTTTATCTTTTTTTTTACAGGTAGAGCTGCCATTATAGCTAAAGTTACTACCTCCCTAGGACTGTGAAATGAGAACTGTGGCCAAACTGCAGAGACCAGATTAATGAGCACCTCAGAGTTGAAATTTAAATTGGTGCACATATGTATAGGCAGTCTTCGTGTGGTACCATAACGGATAATCTCCTCATACAGTCTTATTTCTGCTTGCTGTTGTGTTCATTTCACATGTTTGTGTGGAATAGGATATATTGGGTATATTACCATACAGCACTAGGATATCACTACTATACGGAACTCTCTAGTGTGTTACTGGTGGTGTCCACTGGTCATGAATTCTCTTAGGACTGCCTTGAACTTTGTGGTTCTTTCTTCTCACAGGTATTTCATGCACGGCGTTTGTAAGGAAGGAGATAACTGCCGCTACTCGCATGACCTCTCTGACAGTCCTTACGGTGTAGTGTGCAAGTATTTTCAGCGAGGATACTGCATTTACGGAGACCGCTGCAGGTAAGACTTGTTTCAGAACACACAGATCGGTTTTGCTGAGAGGTTGAGAAAAAGTGAGTAAAATACATAATGCCAATAGCTTTATAAATAGATAACATGCTTTGAAAAGTATTCCTTAGTGTTAGTACACTTAAAATCTCTTAACTTGGAGGGCATATATTAATACATTTTTTTCAAAAAAATGAGTTTGTAATGTAGTAATTCCTGAGGAGCTCCTTCTGCAAACCTAGGGATAAGGTGTGGAGAAAGTATTTGTATATCGCATTTCCTTTTTAAGACAAAGTGATGTGCATATCTCTTAATGAATTAGGAGAGAAAATGGCATCGTAGGCATTTGGAATAGTGTTACTACTTAACGAGAGCTTATCATTGCTTATCATTCAGTGTCAACTTTCCTGAAACCCTTCAGCTTGCAAAACTAAATCTAAGCTTAGATTTAGAGGGAATACTCAGGAATGTGCTGGTAACCATCAGAATGTTAAGAACCAAGAGGGATTCATTCTTTAATCTCTTATTATTAATTGAATTGGTACCATAATCCTGTTACATTGCGATTCAGCAGCAGTGGCTTGTGCTTAGAAATAGGTGGAGGTTTTATTAATCTTCCCAAGTTAGAAGAGATGTTTTAGTTACCTGTTGATTGGAGCGGCCTGGGTGGCTCAGTCGGTTAAGTAGCTGCCTTGATTAGGTCATGATCCCAGGGTCCTGGGATCTAGCCCCTCATTGGGCTCTCTGCTCAGCGGGGAGCCTGCTGCTTCCTCGCTCTGTCTGCCCTTCCCCCTGCTTGTTCTCTTTCTGTCAAATAAAACCAATAAAAAATAGTTACCTGTTGATGTTGAACAAATTACCCTGAGATTTAGCAGCTTAGAAATGATAAACATCTCCCAGTTTCTGGGGGTCTGACTTGGGTGGTTCTAGCTGTGAGATTCTAGAGATTGCCGTCAGGAATTTGGGCAGGTCCGCCATTATCTGACCTCTCCCTGGGGGCTTGGAGGATCACTTCTAAGGAGAGACCTTAGTTTTTTACCAGCTGGACCTCTCCTTAGGGCTGCTTTAGTGTCCTACTTGGTTGCTATCTTTCCCCAGAGCAAGTGATTCAAGAGAGCCAGCAAGGACACATCCACAATGCCTTTTATGTCCTAGTCTCAGAAGTCCTGCACTCACTTCCGCTATACTCTGCATTACAAGCAAGTCACTAAATCCAGCCCATGTTGAAGTGTTCAAGGGGAGAGAGATTGGGCCCACCTTTTGAAGGGAGGCGTGTCAAAGAATTCTGGACATACTTTAACCATAAACCATCATATTAGGTAAGACATTTGGGGAATGTCAGCCAGTTTTAGCATTCTACTATGATCATATGCTTAGAATTCAAAAGGCTAGGAAATTATCGATGGGTGGGATATTAATGTTCAGTCATCCCACATTTTACTAGGAAATCTAGTAAGGATAGAGAAAAATAGATTTTTTTCATGTGACTGTAAGAGCTCAGAAATGGAAACTCTGATACCTGAGTTTAGGTCCTTTTGCTCTCTGCTAATTTTTTTCATTGCAGTATTACTGGAAAGGGGAAAAATGACACCCCCCCCAAAAAAACCCAAACCGCCAGGCTTATCGTCACAGTATGAAAGAGGGGTGTTGGTAGAACTCCATCCTACTATATATAAAGGAGCGATTCTTTGTAGTAGGATGGTCTCTGCAGGTTTTCTAGGCCAGCTTAATTGTAGGGGAGCCTGGTTCTTTGCCTAAACAATCAGCCGAGAGTCTTGTACACTCCGTCCGGGGAGAGAAGAAACAAATGCCAGGAGTGGGAGGGGAAACTAGGGTGTCCAGCAGAGAGAAGTGGAGAGTATGCTGTGTGATAGGAGGAGGGAAAGTACAGCTGGTAAACAGATCAGCTGCTGCTTCAGAAGAGGGACTCATCAGATTGGACCATATAGGTGGGGAGAATGAAAAAAAGGTTAAATTGAAGAAATTGAAGCTAAGGCTGAGGCTGTATGTGTTAATCAGCTTATTTTTCAGGTAACTTCCCCCAGCCCTAAATGGCATTTAGGCATTTCATATTCTCCTTGGGAATAAGTATGGAAGCCCATCCTCAACCTAACCCTGTAATCAGTCGACTTCCTTGTGGGAGACTGAGGTCGAAGGCCAGGGAGTGAGGTGGGTGCACTGTTTTGGCGACGCCCTGACATGGAGGCAGTTTCAAGTCACCTGATAACTGGCTTTTTTCTTTAAAGATGCAGCTCCCTCTTTGGCCAATGATCTGATTTGAGCTAGGTTTAGAGCTCTCAGGGTGAAGTGAAAGGAATTAGGGAAACCTATTATTACTAGTTGGCCTGAAAGAAGCTTCTGTGGCAATTGGGACAGACTGGCTGGAAGATTTACACCTACTTTTCACTCTTTCTGCGTAGGGATCTTTTTACACAAATTGGCCAGTGCCCAGGGATTTCAAATATTGAATGCCTCATACAGGTAATAGTTTATGATGAAAGACAATGTCCTAATGCCAACAGTTCACAAATGTTACTGTGTCCATGCTTCATGAAGGTGGCACTGTTAACTTAGGCCAGTTCTTCATTACTCAGAAGTGTTGTACACATTGCACGACCTCTCAACATCCTTTGCCCCCACTTACTCAATGCCATAAGAACTCCCTCATTGTTTATGAACACCCAGTGGAGAAAGAGGGAGTATTGCCTTGGTTGAAAACCATTGCTATGGTAGATTTTGTTTCCTTTGGAGGTCTCTTTCCCTCTGGACCCACTGAGTCCCGCAAATTAACGTATTTAAGATTTATTTATTTGAAAGAGAGCACGCAAGCGGGGAGAGGGGCAGAGGGAGGAGAGAAACAGACATGATTCCCAGGAGATCCTAGGAACCCTGAGACCATGACCTGAGCTGAAACCAAGAGTCAGACGCTAAACCTACTGAGCTACCCCCGTGCCCCATAAGTTAAAATTTTAAAAACAGAAACCAGACCTTGGAATGATTGGGGGTCGGAAGTAGCCAACCAGAGGGGAAAGCATCTATCTTAATCTTGCTTAAAGATGGAAGAAAAATTTATTTCAGTTTCCTTACATAGAAATTAATACTATACCAGAGTATTTGCAAAGATGTGAAAGAAAAGCCCAATATTGGTTTCAGTGTTGTCTCAGTATTGTTTCTTAACACTTTGATTAAAAGGATCACGGATTCTGTGATAGGCCTTTTAATCAATCTTAAGGAATTAATTTAATAATCATTACAAACACAATCATCATGGACTCTGAATCCAGTAGATGTTAGTCCTCTTAAGTAGGAATTGGCAGGCTTCGTTTGTACAGGGCCAGATAATAAATGTATTTTGGTTTTGGAGGCCATACTGTTCTCGGGGCAATAGCAGCCGTAGATTATACATAAGTGAATGAATGTGGTGTGTTCCCACGAAACTTATTGAGATGCTGAAATTTGAGTACATTTTTCAACCATTTAAAAATATCGAAACCAAGAACACAAGTCCGTTGCTGTCTCCTGAATTATACAGTTAAAATTGCCCACATAAATGGCTTGTGGCCTGTAAAAGAAGTTATTTGTCAATGGGGAGCCTGGCTGGCTTGCTCAGTATCAAAACCATTTTTAGCTCTGGGCTCGGCCTGAGGGTCATAGGCTGGATTGATCCCTGTTCTTAAGAAGGTCCATGCTTCAGTGAACCATATTTCTTAGTAAGCACCTTTTGGTTGGTTGTTTTTTATTTTTATATTTGAGAGAGCACACACACAAGTTGACAGAGTGGCAGGGAGAGGGAGAAGGCTCCCTGCTGAGTGGAGAGCCTGATGTGGGGCTCAGTCCCAGGACCCTGGGATCATGATGACTGAGCCACCCAGGTGCCCCTAGTAAGCACCTTTCAAAATGCGTCTTGCATCTTTCTTGCTTTATTAGGTTTTTTTTTCTTATTTGGACTTTCTTTCCTAGTACCTATGGACAAATCTTCACTTCAGAATCATTTTTATAGATCTATTCTGCACTAAAGGATTAATTTTGGCTAAATAGGCAGATTTGATTTTAAAAGTTAATACTCATTTTTTTTCTTAGAAAGCACAAACGAGGGAACAGGAGGCAGAGGGAGAAGCAGGCTCCCTGCTGAGCAAGGAGCAGAAGTCAGATGCAGGCAGATGCTTAACTGACTCAGCCACCCAGGCATCCCTAAAAGTTAATACTCAAAATAGATTATCATTTGTATTCAAGGACCCGGTTTTATTCACTAAATTTGACCCCTCAGTAGTTGGTTTTTTTTTTTTTTTTAAAGATTTATTGGGCGCCTGGGTGGCTCAGTTGGTTAAGCGACTGCCTTAGGCTCAGGTCATGATCCTGGAGTCCCAGGATTGAGTCCCGCATCGGGCTCCCTGCTCGGCAGGGAGTCTGCTTCTCCCTCTGACCCTCCTCCCTCTCATGCTCTCTGTCTCTCATTCTCTCTGTCTCAAATAAAAAAAAAAAAAAATCTTTAAAGATTTATTTATTTTGAGAGCAAGCCTTGGGGGTCAGGGAGAGGGAGAGAAGAATCAGGCTCCACACCCAGCCTGGAGCCCAAGGCGGGGCTCTCACAACCCCCAAGATCATTACTTCATTTAACTGACTGAGCCACCTAGGCGCCCCAGATGATACGGTCCTTAATGCATGGTATGTGTTTATTAGTAGATGTTGCTCAAAAAATTGAACTGTTTGGGTGCCCAGGTGGCTTAGTTGAGTCGGTTAAGTGTCTTTGGCTCAGGTCCAGCGGGGAGTCTGCTTCTCCCTCTCCTTTGTCCCTCCCCACTGCTCATGCTCTCTCTCTCCAGTAAAATCTATTAAATGCTGTCTAATATGGTAACTATGATCTACCTGTGCTACTTGAATACTTGAAAATATGGCTAGTGCTGGGACCAACAAACTGGTTGTACATTGAAGTATAAAGAGCTGTGTGGCCATTGGTTCCTATCATACAGAGCAGCTTAGAGTCACATTAGAACACCACTTGACAATTTTTTTTTTTTTTTTTATTTGAGAGAGAGAATGAGAGCACATGAGAGGGGGGAGGGTCAGGGAGG